AAAAATAGTTATCGTTAATTATTTTAATCTCTTCGTCTTTACTGCAGATATTTTTTTTATAACGTGAGTAGAACGTACGTAAATCATTATGAAATTTAATTTCAATATGTTCGAGCCGATATCATAAATATTGTAAATTATAAGTAAACGTATTATTTTTTTTAAGAAAACGCGTTTCTATGCAGGAAAGTGCATTACGACTGATAAAAATAAATAGTGGCTTCAATAATTGCGTCGAGCCAATATAAATTATATATCTTGATATGAACTCTTTTATAAATTCAAATATAAATTTAGATGGGTGCTACACGGCAAGCATCGTCCACGAGCATTGTGGACCTAAATATGTTGAATGGTTAATATACTACGTGAGCGTAATGCAACTGCTGCGAGAAACAGAATCCGGCCTCATATACGAGTGCCGGGTATAAAGACCGTCGCAAAAACATCGGCCTCGGTGTTCCACTGGGCACACCAAGATACATGCAGTTGCGCAATTCCGTCGTAATTCCCGCCCATCCTCCTTCAAGCGTTCAATTCGAACAGATCATTATCAAATCCGTACTTGTCCGTCCAATTCAATTAAATTCGTTCGAATCGTCGAATTATCACGATTAAAGAATTCCTTTTTCTTCTTCCGAGCAATTACTATGCTTAGATAAGGAATTGATCGAGTTTTCTCTTTTATTTCGAGCTGCGAGACACACCGTTTCTTGAACGAAAGGGGATACTCGAGGAATAATTGAAAATACTCTTGCGGGTTGAGACGAGTTATTCTTGTCTGGAAATTGCTCAAGTACACAAGTAGCGTCTACTTCGTAATCATTTTTTTTTAACACAATCAAAACTACAGTATTCGAAAGGATATAATAAACGCGGTCCTCGTAACAAACTTGGAAGAATTGTACTTTAAAATTAGATAACAGATTGTTCGTATATTAATGATAAGCACAATATAGCCATTCTGTTTTTCTGCGTTCTTCGTATTTTCTCTCGATTGTTAATCCGCGATTACTGGCAAGGAAGAAGGACTTCTTCGCCAATGTTGACGTTGTCATTTCAAATAGACGATCTATTTGGTAGTAAGGAGAGACCCGCTGATCCTAAAGGGCGGCTTGTTCGAAGACGTCGAGTTGATACGCAGCGTTGTCTTTTCATGCATTTCCGGAAATACTTTCGTTCCCGATATTCCACGGTCTGTTCTCTTTTCTTTTCGTTCCTTCACGGATTCTCGCTTTCTCATCTACTCGTGCATACATACTATTTATGCTATCTCAGATCTATTTCATTTTGTCACACTTCCTTCCACTTTCATTCTCTCCCTCTCTATTTCTCTCGCTCGCTCTCTTTTGCTCTCGTTCTCTCGCACTCTCACTCCCACTGTTCTTTTTCGATCTCTCAGAAGGATATCTTGGGACTATGCGCCCAATGCAAATTTCAATTCTCTCTGATGAACGCACGAACGTATTCGAATCATTCTGGAAAATCCACTGTGAATTAAAGAACGATACAAATTTGAAAAATAACATTGCATGATATAAGAAAAAATTTGTTCCCTTGTGCAGTGACACTCGAAATGGTGTTATCATATATTATAGCGACTTTGGTAAAACTACTTGGCATGTGCAACGAGATTAATGGGAGTAAAATTAAAAGGTACTATGAACAAGCAACTTAAAAACTTAACTAACTGCCCAAACCTTAATATAAATGAGATTAATGCAAACTTGAACTTAAGATTCGATTCTTAAACTGTATAACACTGTAACTACTGTTCCGAGATTAAGCGCAGACCGTGAAACACCATTTCGAGAGTTCAAGCTTGATTTATACCTTCGGCTTTGTGCGATTAGTCACCGAGAGGATGGAAATCTGGACGGGCTCACGGTATGAACGTATGCTTTTATCAAACATTCAGTGAGCAAGATGTATAGCAGAAACCCAAAAGTTAAATATTCCAGATTTCTGATCAATTTATTTAAAATGCTTAATAGGGTGTACATGTACAAGGGAAAGAAGTATGGATAGACAAGAGTTGGTTTGTTTTCCTTACCTAGGTAGATTAGTAATATCCGTGTCGACTTCGATCGGTGTATCGTTCGTCGGCGAAATAAGCACACCCCGAAAATTATATATCGAATACAAAACACATCTCTCTTTCTGTTGTCCGAATAATTGAAAAATAAAGAGAATTGCACGGTCAATTTCGATGCATCGCTTATTAAAACCATACTCGACTCTAGTTTATCTCTCTTTTTTTTACCGTACGGCACTCAGCTCTCGGTCATGTCATACGTACGATTTATATTAAAACTTTTAGCGAAGATTACCTGCTGGATCTTCTTAACATAGGAAATAAATCGATGCTGAAAGAGGTGATCCTAATTGTTTCTTCGCTCTTCGAACATGACGTTAATTATCGAGGCAAGCAGGAGCGTGATCCGTTCTCGATCCACTTCCATGTGGGTCGACTGATACAGGTTTTCGTTAATCTTCTATAGTACTCTAATAACTTTTAGGAACGTAACGTAGGGTTTTTATGTGATACTGGTACAAACTAAAATAGTACGGCTGTAAAAACTGCAAGTTAATCAAATAAATAGAACTATGCACATTTTGGCAAATCAAGTGAAGTATTAATGTTCGCGTAAAATGCAAAGTGTATAATAAAGTTTGCTCGTATTTGTCCAGGAGCCAACCACCTGCAAACTCAACATTGAATAGTTAGTAATGGCACGTATAATAGAAAATTCTAATGTTCAAAGCACAGTTAGAATAGCTTTCTTGCTTTTTGATTGCTCTAATGAAAAACTTACTATTAAAAAATGTGATAGCTTTTAAAGTTGAGTGTTATATTAATTCATACATCATTTTTCATATTTATCTTACGAAAACCGAGATCAATACAATACAATATCATTTTCAAGCATTGACAATTATACAAATTGTAATTGCTGTATATTCGCATTTCGTCAATAATTACTAATATTCATAAAAACACAAATCTATAAGCATCATATATTTGAACTTACGGTGTAGTCTTTGAACATTAGCGTTGTATAAAATAAGTAAAAGATAGTATATACCTTTCTCCGTACAGATTTAAAATTGAAGTTAATTTGTCGAAATAAAAATATATACATGATAGTATAAAAAGACACTTGTAAGTATAATATTTGAGACACTAGATAATACTTACGTTTTGGCTTTGGTGGTATCAATTTGATGCCGCCCTTCTTTTCTTCAACAGGCGGCGTGGTTGGCGAGTCCAGCGATAGTTTAGGTCGTTTATCCGTCGTCGGAATACTTTCCCTAAGCGGCGATGGTCTCTTTAAGGTAGGCAACTTCTGTGGTATGACCTTTTTGTCAATTACCGGATTCGACTTTTTCGCCGATCTCGGCGGAGGAGGTTTCACTTCTTCTTCCAAACCTGTCGATCTGAATTTAGAGTTAAATGTTTTCACAGTCTTTGGCCGCGCTATGGAGTCTTGAGAGTTTTTCCTACTCTCAATGGAAATCGAAATATTCTTCTTCTCCGGCATTGTTGAAACCTTCTTCGCGTCAGTCTTATTTTCTTTTGAACTGTCCCGCGAGTCCGTCGACGACTTCCTCACAGCCGCATCCCCAGACGACTTTTCTTCATCCGCTTTCTTTTTCGGTATCTTCCCGAACTTCGAACTCAACGCCTGTCCTTGGACTTTTTCTAACGTCGCTTTATCCTTCTCCGCCTGGTCCTTCTTCTGCTTCTCCTTCTCCCGTTCTTTATCAGTTTTATTTTTGCTAGAACTATGTTTGCTGGATGAGTGATGCTTATCTTTGTCCTTGGAAGACTTGTCCTTAGAACTCGAACTCTTTGAGCTGCTATTATTACTACTACTGCTGGAGCGATGACTACTCGATTTGTATGACGTGGAACTGGAACGATGCGAACTGGAACTCGAGCTATGCTTAGAAGAACTTTTCGAGGATGAAGATAAGCTATGATGACTCTTTTTATCCGAACTCGATGATTTTTTCTCGTCCTTTTTAGAAGAGTCCCGATTTTCCTTATTACTAGATTTACTATTTTCACTACCATTGTCTTTACTGTCTTTGCTATCTTTATTTTTAACTTCAACGTCAGGATTGTCCGTGGTATCCGTTACAGTTTGTTTCACTTCACTTGAAACTTGGTCTAATTTCTCAGATTGTGCAATGTCATTTTCACAATCTTGTCCACTAACTACACCATCACTAAGTTCCATAGACGCTTCTTCTTCCGAAGTCTGTTTCGCGAGAAGATTATCATCTACGGCATCCCCATTAACTTCTACATTTGTACTGTTCGTATTTAAAACACTGTTAATATTCGTGGCGTCTGTCTCCACTGTTGTAAGAATCTGTTTGCCCTCGCGAATAGTTATCTTATACACAGGAACCGGAGATTGCGAAGATGTGGATACAACGACGAATGCTGGCTTTTTCTGCGATGACAATTGCTGTTGTAGTTGCACCTGTTGCGGTTTACTAACAACTTGCAATTGTAATGGCTGTATAGTCGTCCTTTCCTGGGTCTGCTGCTGTTCTTGCGAGTGTTGCTGCTGTGGTTGAATATGGGATACCGCGATGGTCGAAGTGGAATTCGTAATAAATTGCAGATCTTGCACCTGAACCGTTGCCGCTTCCGTACCATCAGAAATGGTTTGTTGAGTGCCACAGTGAATGGAATACTGTTGCTGTTGCGGTGACTGGGATACAAAACTTTGCCCCAGAACACCAGTTGTTTGAACTGGAATAGTCATGATTTGTGCTGGCACAGAGTTTGGGGCAGCCTCCCCTTTCACTATCTTCAACCACTGTTCGACCAGTCGACTAGCTAACACTCTAACACCTTGGTGACTCCCTTCCTTTGATAAACCTTTTACCAATTTCGGGCAATTATTGCTTTTTAATCTCTCGATATCTACTGGGCATAACAGCAAAAGTTCTAAAAGTTCTTGGATGAGAGCCCAATTCTTAGCAAGAATACCATCTGTAAGCCACATATGAATGAGATTCCATCCTCCTGCACCCATAAATCTAAACAAAATGAAAAATAACGAATTGTTCAAGTTGCCGACTACAATTTGTAAATTGTGTACTTCAAAAGTATGTTAAGAGAATTGTTTTGTGGAACTCTTATCAGTGTGTACAGCACATCAATGGAACTGTCCAATGGTTTAGAGTTCCTGCTGTTTTACTCTAGCATACATTTTATATATCACACAACTATACAAATTACGAATACTCATGTGTACCGGTATGCGATATATGTAATTTAAATTGACAAAAAAGTATACTCACTGGCTAAGTAAATCAGTATTTGTAGTTTTTAATATCTGTATGTAAATGCATTTCGAAACAAGTTTCTTTGAGAACTTTGTCATTAAATTAGCCAACCGGTGAACCTCTTCTTTACTTTTAATACCTCCAGTTGGACCCAATAAAACACTAAGACATTTCAATAAAGATAGGGGATCTATGCGTGGCTGAAAAAGCATCATGCAAAGTATTAAAAAATTGATCTCCAGAAATTGATGTACACAGTAATATTAAATGATGATATCGTTATTAATTGATCACCAAAATCGCGCAAAATAATACAATTCAATTTAAAAGACATCTAGTGTTCTTTCAAATTCAACCAAGAATTAAATTAATACGTTTTAGACGAGAATCTGTTTACGTAAGAATAATATAAAACTCAATAATATCATATAATTATACACTTGAAATAAAATTGAGTTATTAAATAAAACTTCCGGTGTTTAAAAAAATAGCATCACACAAGGTCGCGCGAATAAGAGAACAGCACGAGGATCATTTACCTTCCCCATAGTGTTATCGAGTACAAGTATTATTCAAAATACATACTGATTTTCTAAAAACTTTTATTATATCATTTAAACGTTCGTATTGTAAGATTATTAAAAGCTGACGAAGTCAGAAATAGGATACGAGGTCATGAGCTAAGGTTATTGATCCTGTCGCTTTCCCCTTCCACTAGCGTCTTTCGTAATTTTCATACATGGTGCCCTCTCCCGCAAAATGTACGAAGCGAAAGGAAAGTGACTAATTAAAAAAAAATGACTTACCATTTTGATGATATTCTCGACGATTTAACGCATATCGAAGTACAAACATAGGATCATGATGGAAATCTGCAATAAAACACAAAGATGTTCTTCTTTTTAATCGGAAAACGTAACATACTTGTTTAGGTCGTAAGCGTACACGTATGCACGGCCATATTGTGAAACTCACGAATGTAAAATACAGTTAGAACAAAGTTCATCGTGCGAACAATAGATTCTATTTTTTTATCTGACAATGATCATTACCTAACTATTAAATACGTTTTCACGGACAATTCGGAAGTACGAGTTTATCGAATCGGTTTGCTATGCCCCATTGTCCTTCATCGTACTATACGTGAATCATCTACCTCGCGGATCGTAAAGTGCCAATTGTGAAGATTTTTATACCGAATCTTCCCCTACTTCAAGTATTCTTTTAATATTTTGATCATTCCTTAATAAGAGCAACTTTGGATACTGAGATTGAGCAACGAAATCTACAAATAGGAAAACTATCTGTGGAGGGTGTGAGCTCCTCGGAAAACGGTGATCACTCGATGGTCAACTGGCAGATCTCCTTCTGCGCAATACTTCGACGCATATCCCACCCAGAATAGTTACACAATAAACCAACCGCGTTTCGAGTTCCCCCTAAACGTCAACCAATGATCATGGCGACCCCACCCTATCACTTGATATCACCGAGTAATTACTATTTATAGCACACTATGATCGTCCATTTATGCTACATTTTAAGAATTTGCCAACATTTCTCTTTTAGCTTTGGATAATCACTAAACACTTTCAATAATGCTTCGGTAACATTTGATTTTCACTCGTGCAAGTTTAGAATGAATAATATCTCTCATGCAATTTCTAAAAATCCGATAAATATGCTCAAGAGAACTTGCATCACTAATGCATTGATCGTTCCACCTTGCGTCAAGTCTCGAGTTTCTACCGAAGTCTTTACCTACTTATTAGTATTATTCATTGAAATATGTACGTGAAATCGTACGGCAATATTGTAAAGAATAACGTGTCGGAATACTAAGATCCAAATCAAAAGTCGAAAGAGTATACTTCGGCTTTTTTCAACGACAGAAAAGCCACTCACATTTTTGATTAACAATTAAATCCGCTTTATGGAAAATATATGTTCACAGCGGTGTATAAGAAATATTGCATTTCCTATACACGTATACGACGTGGCCCTACGTTCTGACGAAAATAGGCTACGCATCAGCAAACGCTACAAGATTGTCCAAAATCCGTAAATATCTTCTTGTTGATCTGCCATCTGCAATCAAATAGTTTATCAAACGTTACTTTTATTACCTTAACGTCGTTTTTCTTGTGATATCTTGTTTAACAGTTCCAAAATTTACTTTTAACAGGAGTAAAATTATTCTCACCTAACTACGTAGAAGCTGCTGTTATGCCGAAACCGGAAATAGCCTATTTGCCTCAGATGAATCAACTGCATGTTTATTTTACACGCTGAATTGTGTTAAGATCGGAAACAATTAAGTATTAAATGGAATATATGTTTGACTTAATTTATGATAGTTATTGCGATTTAAGTGGCATTTAAATTTAACACACTGTTCAATACATTTTTTGACTAATTCCCACGGAGAAGCTAGCAGAAGTGTTACTAAAATTGAATCAAATGAGTAACTTTTAAAGATAAACTGTGATAATAAACGATGATTTACCGAAAGCTATACGTTTAGTTAAGAATAGAAAAAGATGTATGAAATATATTTTGTGGAATAAACAAGATTTATGCACTTTAGGTATTAAACATTTTCCAATAATTAAGAGCTAATTAACGAATGCTTGAATAGTTTTAAATTTTATTAATAAATTAACATAAAGTAGTAGAAAATATACGTATTAAGTATTTATTGTAGTATTAATTTCTTAAGTTTATAACCATTAAAGTATAACAACTGTGCAAAAAGAATTCCGGTTTTTCCTATTCCATATTTCCACTAATTGAGTAATGCAACTTGGAAAAACTGGTATAGAGAAGTAGGAAGATAATGGCATTGATCTTGAATAAACTGCAGTTTGCTGCGTCAATTATTAGACCCAGCTTAACTTCGAGAGTAAGAATCATTGAAATAATCGCTGTCGAAAGTGATCTAATTCTCTAATTTTTCAATCAGGTTATACCGGTGAAATGTATGCATCCTACAATTACGAAATTGAACGAAGTAGAGCAGTCTGATCAACTCGCCCTACAGCGAGCTCCTATTTCGAAGGATAGGACCACAATAATACCTGTGGAAGTCAGTATAAGATACCTGAAGAGTAGAGGTACATACTTTTTACGTATATACTGTCGTTTTAATTTTCATAATAGCTTCGATCACGTTTATAATTTCTATTTGTAGCTTATAGGGAAACGTACGGTGATGATCCTGTTTGGAAGATTTATAGACGAAATTTCAAAGGTCAATTTCCACCAAAAAAAACACGGAAACTGTGCATTGTAAATTTCATTCTTCTTTTTACATAAAATATATTAGTTCTAGTACTAGTCGTGTTGTGTACTAAAACAACTTTAACAATTTTTTTAGAGGGGCGGTGTAATAGATACTGGCAGTCCGTGTCCAATATGCAGAGACGAATATTTAATCCTTGATTACCGTAATATTGATTTGTTAAAACAGTTTATCTCCGAACATGATGGGTCACTCTTAAGTTATAAGTAAGTTATATGTGAAGCTAATCGACAGCAATTTAATTTGGCAATCGTTAACTCTTCTTCTTTACAGTTACACTAATTTATGTCAAAAAGCTTATAAAGATTTACGTGTTGCGGTAATGAAAGCAAAGGAATATGGGTTGCTTACGTTTGATGTCCCGTATATATATTATGATTATACGATATGGAATCATTAATACTTTAATTTTCGAATTGTATTGAGAGGTTGAAGTAATAAATCATTTGAAATGGATAAAAAAGAATTGCACTGTGCATTTGCAATAGTAGGAGGCGGTATTGCTGGAGTATCATGTGCTGAGAGCATAGCTTTTCTTGCTCCAAAGGAAAAAATTATTTTAGTTACGGCAAGTCCTTTAGTAAAGGCGGTCACAAATATAGTCTCGCTAGGCAAGACGTTGATACAGTTCGATGTGGAAGAGAAAGAGACACAGTCTTTGACAGAAACGTATGATTCATTGAAAATTATTAACGATTTTGTAATAAAAGTAAATGTTTCAGATAAAAAATTGGAAACTAGAAATGGAAGAATTATAAGCTATCAAATGCTATGCCTTTGTAATGGTGCTAGACCAAAACTTATAGAAGAACATAATGAGTTTATTTTAGGGATAAGAGATACTGAATCAGTCATTCAATTTTCCGAAAAAATAAAAAATTCAAGGAGAATTGTAATAGTTGGGAATGGTGGTATTGCTACTGAAATTGTATACGAAGTTGACGGACTCGAAATTGTATGGGTGATCAAGGATAAACATATCTCGGCAACATTCGTCGATCCTGGAGCTGCAGAATTTTTTATGGACAAAGTGCATAAATCTGAAACACTCCCAAATGTTAATTTAAATCTAACCAAAAGAATGAGGTATACTGTCTCTGATACTGCAGCTCTAAAAGGTGGACCAGCATTAGGTCCAGATTGGCACAACAATTTTGACATAAAAGGAATCCTCGAATCTGCAAAAGTACAGATTGAATACGAATGCGAGATAGCTAGGGTTCTCAATGAATCTGAGAAACAGGAATTCGATCCTGTGCAAGAATGGCCCATATATGTTCGACTGACAAACGGAAAAATCATTGGTTGCGATTTCATTGTATCAGCTACAGGCGTAATACCAAATTCTGATATAGCTGGTTTAGGGAATGTGAAGAAAGGGGAAGATGAAGGATTTTTGGTCGACTGGAAGTTAGAAACTTCAACAGAAGGTATATATGCTGCTGGAGATGTGTGTACCGCTGGTTGGGAACTGGCGGATCATTGGTTTCAAATGAGACTATGGACTCAAGCGCATCAAATGGGTCGATACGCGGCAAAGGCAATGGTTTCTAAGTTGAAGAACGAAGAATTTTACCAGGATTTCTGTTTCGAACTTTTTTCTCATGTAACTAAGTTCTTCGGTTACAAAGTAGTTTTACTAGGCTTGTATAACGGACAAAAGTTGGACAACAATTACGAGATATTACTTCGAATGACTAAAGGAAGTGAATACATAAAACTTATATTGGATAAAGGTAAAATGCAGGGAGCAGTGTTAATTGGTGACACTGACTTGGAAGAAATGTGCGAGAACTTGATTCTTAATCAGTTAGACTTAAGTATTTACGGGGAAGATTTGTTAAATCCCGATATCGATATTGAGGATTATTTTGATTGATTATATATGAGTTCAGTTGAATAAAACTTTCGCAATAGATTTCATTAATATCGTATTAAATTATCCATTACTTTATAAAAAAATGCTTATTTAAATTTTGTTTAAATAATAGTGTAGTTTCACAGATGTTGTAAGAACTTAACAGACGTCAATATAGTAATATTTTTGCGTAAATCTATGTATAGAGATACTACATAACAATCTTATGAACAATAACTGAAATAAAAACACATATATGCATAAACGCAACTAAACACATTTTTTGTTTCATTCAATATGTTAATTCTATAGTTACTAATAGACGTCGTAAAGTTTCTTTCTTTGTACGTATAATAATATATAAGTTATCCTGAACGCGGACATTGTCTAATTACACGATGTTAACTTTAACTAGATTGACTTTTTTCGTCTAATTTACATCTGTAAATCTTACGCATTTTCTATCAAAACCTTTAACATTATTACGCAATGTAGATTTTGTTGGCGAAAGAGGTTTTATATTATGACTTCCGGAAATTGGGAAGTCTGTGTTACAGCCTTGATTTACGCTATCGTTGCACTTCTGAGCGAGATTTGCATTTCCATTAATGCATTTACTCACGTCTATCGATTCCAAAGTTTCGCGCAATCTATCAATAATACTTTGCATATTGTTAAGAGATTCAGTAACTAATTGCATTTCAGTGTTCTTGGTACACAGTGCTTGCAAAGTTCTTGCAGCATGTTCCATTTGTGCAAGGCATCCGTTTATAGTTTTTTCATCTCTAGACATGTCAACCGCTTGATTTTCAATTACAGTCGCATCCAGCGAAAGTTGTTGCAAACTTTCATTTAAGTGTCTTTTTACTGGTGTCATATTTATCGAGATTCGACTACTATTTAAGGAGTCCTCGAATGTTTCTGTATTCTCGTAAGGCTCCCAAGTCGCCTCTGACGTACACAACTCTTTTATCGAATCTTCGATATCGTAATCTCGTAGACGATGAACCCAATCCAAAAATCGCATTGGTTGCCAGAACGTTTCACTCATGTTATCTCTATTACGTATCCGAATGACTGGCCTCAAACTTTTGTCTACAATCATCTGCTGCTGGTCGAATTCCTAAAATGTATCAATGAATGAGTCAAGCAATGATCATTTAAAATATAAAGTACGGAAATACGTACATAATTAAGGCCGACTTCTCGACAACGTTCAGTAGCTTCTTTTACTAATAATTGCATTTCATGCAAGGTGATGCCTCCATCGGTGATCGCTTCCGAGCTAGCTTTCATTTTTAATGCAAACTCGGCATCGGCTGTCTTTTCATTTAAAATGCTCTCCAGCTCTTGTAAAAAATTAGATTTATATGGCGCAACGTTTCCTCTTCTCTGATCTAATTGTATCTGTTTCAATCGGTTGTTCGTCTCAACTTCATTTTCGAGCAACTGTTTCTCCAATTCCAATTCTTTTTTCTTCTGATTGATTTCTTCCAGGGCAAGCTTTTGCTCCTCGACTGTAGAACCGAGGATTTCAATTTTACGTTCGTACGACATTTTTTGTGTTCCTAATTGCATCTCAACTTCTCGCTTCGCATTCTCTAATTCTTTTATTGCCTTCTGTTTACTGTCTTCTAGTTCGGCTCTTAATCTGTAGGAAATAAAAAGTATAACATCAAATGCTTTATAATTACAAATAATCGTTGGCAAAAAAGAAAACTGTTACATACTTCGCTTCTTGTACTTTAAGAATTTCCTGATGCGCGAACTCGTAGTCTACAGCTTGTGTCGAAATTTGTACATTGTTATGTTCATCGCATGGGTTCGAAACTTTGAAATAATGATTACCGCCGATTACTAACCGGTCGCCGTGCTTTAAAACCACTTTGCCCGTTACTACCTAGTACCAAAAACAGTTTGATAATAGAAGTAACGCGATAAAAGTTATAGTGTATTGTACCTGCCCATTTACAAATGTGTCTCCTTCCATCTCGGACGATAATACAAGTCTTCCATTACTATTTTCGATGGTGCTGTTGAATACACAATAGGTCAATAAAAGGATTGTGCTAACGAATATATTAGTTTAAATATGAACGTAATTGTAATTATACTTTCTTCACAAAGTGCCTTAAGTCTCCTTTAATTTTGGACATGCATAACTTCGAAAAGTTCAGGAACCATCGTATAGTACGATTCACACAGAAAACTATCATGCGAAAATCAGAATGGATTAGATTGCGGTCGAAACATGGAACGAATATGTTACATCACGGAAAACGTGCAACTGGAGGAAACAGGTCGTGAACGGAAACAAAGGTGAGCGAAGTAATGAAGAAGAAGACGTTTCCCTGTACCGTCATTAATTAAGCAACAAACTGAAAGGCTAGGTGTTAGAGAAAATGAACACGAGTGGAAGAACGTGAACAACATCAACGAATACAGCATTTCCGAATCACCGAACTGCAAACGACCCAATGACTAACCAGTGTAAGGGTCTAACCAGCGGTCCATCCAACATGATATCCAAACGCTCAGAAGAGGCTGAAGGATCAGAATTTTTTCCGATGCGTACCAATCCCGGAGGAATTAGATACAAAAGCGTACCAGATAACATAGGATCGGCAGCGAGATTTATTAGACAAGGCTGCTTATCCTTCTCGTGAATATCGATCTCGATAGCGATACCGCAACGACGCAAGTATTTTAATTCGGAATTTTTCTTATCCTCGGTATCCCGCAATTTCTTTTCCCAAGTCCTGAAATTACACGCGACTAAATATTTTAAGCAATCATTCTGTGAACATCCTCTAATCCTTTTCAAGGATAATTTGGTAATGCGCTGCGTAGATAAACAATTTTTTTAAACAGATAATCTTCCCGATCATATCCAGAGATTATAACACTGATACCTTAAAAGTTACATGATAAGATTAACTTACATTTGTGTGATTGCGAGTTGCTCTTCAGTTCTCTTTAATTGATCTTTCAGTTTATCGATTTCTTGTTGTTTCTGCTTGATTTCATCGTTAGTTTGACTGATCGTTCCGATGGAATCAAGAAGACGACGGGGGCAAATTCCAAGTTGCTTCTCGTATCCTTCTCGTACACCGCGTAATCGTAGCACTTCTGCTTTTAACTCCCTTAATAAAAAAAAAGAGATAATTACAGTCATAAGATAAAAAAGATTAGGTTATCGGTTTGGAATTAAAAAATATATCTGACGACAGTCTTTTGTTTCTTGCTATAAGCTCCAGCCCATTTGGTAAGTTCCGATTTTTATCGATTCCTATTAGGCGCATTTGACAGGAAACGTATGTATGTATGTATGTATGCCGATAAAAGATTACAGTAATATGATTCATAATATTCATTCACAAAAAACGTTATCTATTACCGAATTAACTTCTCGTGCGGATCCTCATTAATTCGAACTCGATTGACAATAGCTCGGGCTTGACAAGCGTATCGGAGAGTTGCGAGAGTTTCCTCGACGTGTATATTAGCCGGTGATACCGTTCCAAGCATCGCTGTTCTTGAATTGCCTCCGAGACTTTCCTAATCGATCCAGTAAAGAAAGAAAATCAGATAGTTTTTAAAAAATGAAAATATTCAACACGATTCTCCACAGGAATCGTTTTAATTGTCAAACAAAGAATCATAAAAATATACATATATGTATCTTGCATTTTAATTGCGCATCAATTTATCATAATTAAGTTGTATAAGAGAAATTAAAAATAACAGTACGAGCTGCGACAACATGCAAAACACTTTAGGGTGTCATAAATCATGTTCTTCCCTCGAAGCTATATTCTGCTGAATCTAAAAGATCTTGCTCGGGTTTTTTCAGGTATCAATTGGTCACTCTTGTCTGAGTCATTTCGATACCTATTTACGATAGCTTTTCCTGGTCTTGTTTTTGTTATTTGATCTCTGTATTTAATTTTCTTTCGGATGTCTCACAGTTGTAAGACAACAAGTGAACTTCCTTAGTTTCACATTAAAATTCTGCGCACTTTACTAAACTTAATATCAATTATTCTGTGTATAAATAATCATTATCAGCAATCGCTCATGATAAGATAACCGAATGCTAAGGGATAGCGACTAATCTTTTGTAAGTGATACTTAGGCTTGATCCCTATCATGACTTCACGCTTATATTTCTTAACGTTATCCAGTATTCCTGATACGATTTAATGAAAACCGATAAGATACCAGACGGACCGTGTAATTGTTTGTCGATGTGCGTGTGTACGAAAGTTTGCGAGCAGTATTGTTAATTAAGTCGTCGTTCAATAATGGAAAAAGTCTACATACTTGCCATCGACCTTTTTGTTTAGAATTTCCGATTATTCTTGAATACGCTGAATTCTTTCTCATTTAATCTGATCTAATTTTGACGCGGTGCTTCGCTTACTGCGAGAAAGGAAGCTTGAACAATGGATTTCGCTATTCCTAATCGTCAAATATGCGAGCACGTAATTTTCATTATCATTTTCGTATTCGAGATCTCAATCGGAATGTATATTAATTCCAATAATAAAGAAACTGCACAGATAAGTTATCGAACATAATTGACGTTAAATATTCTAAAGTGCTTTTAAGGAAAAATTTCTTGTACGTAAATATACACATATGTAGTATATTTACTCAAAATTCAACACGTAATTATTATTTCTGTTTTCATTAAACCTTACAATACTTCACGCTTTATCAGTAAACAAGTCATTAATTTTGTTCGCAGCTGAAGATAATGTAAAAA